GCCCCCCAGCGGGGTCAGAAACACCGTTTTATACAAAATTGGTTCCCCTTCACCAAAGGATACTTCATACCAAATTTGGGCAAAATCCTGTCATTCCTACAGAAGGACAAGGATTTTGAAGAATTTGCTATGTTTCTAATTCTCCTAATGGGCCCCGCCCCTCTGCCCCAAATGGGGCTAAACCCACTGTTTATACAAAATTGTGTCCCTTTTGCCTAAGTATGCTCCAGAATAAATAAGGATAAAATCCTTTAATCCCTAGGGTAGAAGAAGAATTTTAAAGGTTTTACCTCTATTTCTATTATTTGGACCCGCCCCTCTGCCCCAAATGGGGCTAAACCCACTGTTTATACAAAATTGAGTCCCTTGGCAAAAGGATGCTCCAGACTAAATAAGGATAAAGTCCCCTAATCGCTACGGTAGAAGAAGGATTTTAAAGGTTTTACCTCTATTTCTATTATTTGGACCCGCCCCACTGCCCCTAATGGGGCTACACCCACTGTTTATACAAAATTGAGTCCCTTGGCAAAAGGATGCTCCAGACTAAATAAGGATAAAGTCCCCTAATCGCTACGGTAGAAGAAGGATTTTAAAAGTTTTACCTCTGTTTCTATTATTTGGACCCGCCCCACTGCCTCTAATGGGGCTACACCCACTGTTTATACAAAATTGAGTCCCTTGGCCGAAAGATGCTCGAGACTAAATTAGAATGAAATTCCTGAATCCCTATGGTAGAAGAAGGAGTTTAAAGGTTTTACCTCTATTTCCATTGTTTGGCCCCGCCCCTCTGCCCCCAAGGATCCACACCCACCGTTTATACAAAATTATGTCCCCTTGACCTAAGGATGCTACAGACTCATTTAGGATAAATATCGACCTGAAGTTTGATACATAGGTGTATCATAGTCATATGAAAAACATATCTTCATACCTTACTTTAAAGGTTATAATCTTAGAGGTAAAAACTGAAGACGCTTCACGATCTGCGGAGTTTAATTCACACACGTGTGCCATGCCGCCGATCGTAAAATTTAAATTTATTATTTTCGATCATTTTTCATCATAACTTGGTCAATTTGGTATAGAGGTATATCATAGTCATATCAACAACATATCTACTGATGTCGCTTACTTTATTCGATATTTTTAAAGATTTTGTCGGGCGACACTTGTTGTCACTTGAAGACGCTTGTTGTCGGTTGAAGACGCTTTTAAGGGTAACCGAAACCTGGGACATGTTTCTCTTGTGGTAACCCGGGTCATTGGAGGAGGGAATGTCCGACAGTGAGGGGTATCCCCGCGACAGCTTCCCCGGGTCATTGGAGGAGGGAATGTCCGACAGTGAGGGGCATCCCCGCGACAGCTTACCCGGGTCATTGGAGGAGGGGATGTCCGACAGTGAGGGGTATCCCCGCGACAGCTTACCCGGGTCACTGGAGGAGGGAATGCCCGACAGTGAGGGGTATCCCCGCGACAACTTACCCGGGTCATTGGAGGAGGGAATGTTTGACAGTGAGGGGTATCCCCGCGACAGCTTGCCCGGGTCATTGGAGGAGGGAATGTCCGACAGAGAGGGGGATCCCCGCGACAGCTTACCCGGGTCATTGGAGGAGGGAATGTTTGACAGTGAGGGGTATCCCCGCGACAGCTTCCCCGGGTCATTGGAGGAGGGAATGTCCGACAGTGAGGGGGATCCCCGCGACAGCTAGCCCGGGTCATTGGAGGAGGGGATGTCCGACAGTGAGGGGTATCCCCGCGACAGCTTTCCCGGGTCATTGGAGGAGGGAATGTCCGACATTGAGGGGTATCCCCGCGACAGCTTACCCGGGTCACTGGAGGAGGGAATGTCCGACAGTGAGGGTTATACCCTCGACAGCTAACCCGGGTCAGTGGGGGAGGGAAGGTCCGACAGTGAGGGGTATCCCCGCGACAGCTAGCCCGGGTCATTGGAGGAGGGGATGTCCGACAGTGAGGGGTATCCCCGCGACAGCAGGAAGGGCTAATGAAAAGATAAGTTTTGGGCAACAATAGGTCCTCAAAGGATAACCAAGTTTTGTGGATTGTCATTCGTATGAATCTACATCTACAATTCAATGTATATAGATCAGATAGCCCCCCGATTTCAATCTTGGCCATATTGACTGGTCTGTTCCTGTGTCATAGCAGGCAAACCCAATCCAAAAATACACCATCAATTTTTAGATATTATCAACGACACTAGCCTTACACAAGAAGTTGATGTCCCATCAAGAAACAACCAAATACTTGACATCATTCTAGTAAATAACCCCTCATGTGTCAGTCGTGTTATTACGTTACCACCCATTGGCCTCAGTGATCATGACATAGTGTACATGGAGGGAGATATCTGGCTACGCAGGGTAAGAGATAAACCCCGTAAAATCTACAAATACGACCAGGCAAATTGGGACCAGATAACACAGGACCTAAACAACATCCATACACGGTTGACAGGTGAAATAAACACCTCAGATCCTGATGTAGATACACCCTGGAAAGTATTTAAAGACGGTATTCTAAATTCTATCGAGAAAAACATACCACACAAATGGCTAACGTACAAACACAGACTACCCTGGATACACAACAAACTTCGGAAACTTATCAATAAGAAAAACAAACTATACAAAAGAAGAAAAGACCCCAAATACTCATATAAATATAAAGCAATAAAAATGCAAATTCAAAAAGATCAGAGACAAGCATATTGGAACTACATAGAAAATTTTTATCTGTGACATATCAATTACTGATCCCGACCAAAAAGTACCTCGTGACTCCAAACCAAAAAATCTCTTTTCGTACATAAAATCTATCCGCACAGAAATTACCAGCACATCGCCCCTTAAACGAAATGGCCTCTTAACCACAGACACTGTTGAAAAAGCCAATATTCTAAATGACCAATCTGTTTTCACTGTTGAACCAAATGATAATATCCCTGATAAAGGCCAACGTCCCCATCATGATATTGAACCTATATATATAACTACACCAGGCATTGAAAAACTCCTGTCCAATCTAAATCCGCATAAAGCTAGTGGCCCAGACAACATTTGTGGCAGAATTCTAAAAGAACAACAACAACATATAGCTCCAATCCTCACTATCATCTTTAATAAATCAGTAAATTCAGGCCAAATTCCTCAGGATTGGAAACATGCAAATGTGGCACCAATTTACAAAAAGGGAGAGAAATACAAACCCGAAAACTATCGACCCATTTCATTAACTTGTATCTGTTGTAAAATTTTGGAACATGTAGTAACTAGCCACACCATGAAACACCTGGAAAAACACAACATACTTTATGATTTACAACATGGTTTTAGAAAAGCACGCTCCTGCGAATCTCAACTTCAGTCATTTGTCCACGAACTTTCGCAATCACACAATAAAAATATTCAAACTGACTTATTAATTATGGATTTCGCTAAAGCTTTTGATAAAGTCCCGTACAAACGTCTCCTATACAAACTAATTTTTATGGTATTCGGAACAAAACACTAAACTGGATTTCGGCTTTCCTCTCTCATAGAACACAAGTCATACTAGATGGTTAATCCTCCAATACAGCCCCTGTCACATCTGGCGTACCCCAGGGTACAGTTCTAGGACCAATTCTTTTCCTTATTTATATAAATGACTTCCCAGAATACCTCAACCATAGCACACTTAGACTTTTTGCGGACGATAGTATTATTTATAAAGAAATACGATCTGGCCATGACTGCTGGCTTTTACAACAAGATCCTGACGCTGCAGCCAAATGGGAAAGTGACTGGCTAATGGCATTCCATCCTGACAAGTGTACAGTTATGACTACATCATCCAAAAAACATCCATTTTCTCATAAATACGTTCTCAACGGGCATACCCTTGAAACTGTCACTTCAGCTAAATACCTGGGAGTCACACTTCAATCTGATTTAAAATGGTCCAAACATATAGAAAATACAGCCGCTGCAGCAAATAGATCTTTTTGAAAAGAAATCTCAAAACAGGAAACAATGACATTAAAAGTAAAGCCTATCTGTCACTAGTCCGCCCTAAATTAGAATACGGCTGTACCCTGTGGGACCCACACACATCAGACTCAATATTCAAACTTGAAATGGTACAGAGACGCGCTGCCAGGTATACCTGCAATAGGTATCACAATACCAGCAGCGTCTCTGACATGTTANCTCTCTCTCTCTCTCTCTCTCTCTCTCTCTCTCTCTCTCTCTCTCTCTCTCTCTCTCTCCTTCAGACACATTCACTCAACCAAAGACAGCTCTAAATATTCTTTCTTCCCTCGAACAATCACCCAGTGGAATCTTCTCCCACCCACTGTGGTGATGTCTCCATCCGTTGATGTATTCTGAGTACAGCTAACTCCAGCTGTACTCGTTACATTCCTCTAAGCACCACTCCATATGTATATAGTTTTAACCTCACTGTTTTTAAATCCACGCATTGCACAGCACACACAGCAGTCCGTAATCTTCAAATGATTGAAGGAGGATTGGATAACTAAAGAAGAAGAAGAAGGTTCTGTCACAGAAGTTTCGGAACAGCCTGTAGTAGTTAATCCACTGACAGTAGCATACAGCAAGAAAGGTCAGCCCCGTCTCGTTTTAGATTGTAGGCACATAAATCTGTGTTTACATCAGTTTAGATTTAAATACGAGGACGCGTCTGTAGCCAGGGACATGTTCGAGGTACGAAGGTAACCATGTATTTACATTTGATTTAAAATCGGCTTACCACCACATAGAGATATGGCCGGAGCACAGAAGGTACCTGGGATTTTCTTGGATATTAGAAGGTAAGTTACGGTATTTTGTGTTCAATTTTCACTAAGGTCACGCGAGAGTGTGTGAAATACTGGCGATCGAAAGGTCACCACGTGGTAATGTACCCCGACGACCGTATAGGAGGAAACGATAGGCTGACAAAGCAGCGGAAGTAAGTAAGGATGTGAGGCATAGTTTAACGCAGTTTGGCTTCATCATAGCAGACGAAAAGTGTAGTTGGAGCCATCACAAAATGCCACGTGGCTAGGCTACACGTGGTTTTTCGAGAAGGGCGTGGTCAGGATCACTATGGAAAGAATGACTAGGTTATTGACATGCCTAGACAAGGCCTTGACATTGATTGGGAGAGGTAAGGTATTGTTCAAAGCCAGGTGGGTGGCGGGTATTGTTGGTCAGATCATCTCAATGCAAAGTGTGTTTGGACGGCAGGTGAGTTTGAGAACTTGGTGTTTGTACAACACTATTTTGACAAAGGCAAGCTGGAATGCGCCGGTATTGATGGGCGCGGAGGCTATAGGTGAGCTTAGACATTGGAGGTCACATGCAAAGCGCATGAACTGCAAGGGCAGTGGCCATGGGTTGAAGGATAACGGTTGCGTCACGGGGACAAGTACCGTTACCGTGCGTACGGATGCCTCTGACATGGGCTATGGTGACTATGTATATGCCGAGAACACCCTGGCTGAGAGTGAGTGTAACGGAGAGCCTTTGGTAGGCATTCTCGTTGAGGCTGATATGCAGTATGGTCGAGCAGATCGACAATGTGTGTTGGGTTCATGGGAGGCCTCGGAGGCAAAGCGTAGCTCTACAAGGGGGAAGGTAGAGGGGCTAAACGGGTACTTCTATCGGTAAGGAGTATAGTAAAGGGGGGGGGGAAGCTAGCTATGGATAGCAAAAATGCATGTAGTATTGTCCATACAGGGAGTAGAAAACAAGATTTGCAGGATATAGCATTAACGATAAACGAGTTTTGCGGAACGGAACAATTGCTGGTGCAAACTCAATGGGTCCCTTGGGAGTTGAATACGACAGCGATGGTGGTGCAGCGGCCAGAATCAGAGGACGCTTTTTCGCAGGTGTGGTCGGGGGAGAATAACTGGAGGGTTCCCCCTCCTCGTTTAGGCTGTAAAGTATTGGGGAAGATAAGGCGGGATAGGGCCGCGGGCACTTTGGTGATTCCTGAATGGGCATCCGCGCCCTACTGGCCAGAATTAATCGCGGAGAGATCAAGCTTAACAAATTCCGTGGTCGACTGGATTTCATTCGGTCACGATGAGGTGACAATGGCTGGTAGGGGTAATAACGGGATATTTGGGCATAAGACTTTAGAATTCAGAATGTTGGCATTCAGGTTCATATGAGATTCATGAATACGTTTCCCTTTTCCTGCAGGTCTGAGGTCAAAGCAGCACGTGGGAGAGACGCTCAAGGAGTCCGGAATAGGAGAGGGAGTTACCTTCATACGCTAGGCAGACGTCCGGGATGTAAGGCGGATAGTACCAACACGAAGTATTTGGCTTTGGAGATGGGAGAGTTTCATAACGGATCAAGGTTTCGAGGCTTTGCCGGCCGACTCAATTCACATTGCATTATTTTTGACGCATTTATTCGACAATGGTTCTTCAACTGCAGTGACGGAATCGGCCATGTACGCCATCAAATGGCATGGGCGCACGATCTCACCGGATTGACAGATCCTACCAGGAACGTCTTTGTCAGAAATGTTGCGGAATCAGCAAGACGAACTGTTAAAGCTCACGTTAAGAAGAAGGAACCTGTGACTTCACAGAAGCTTATCAAGCTATGTGACATTTTCAAAGACTGTAAAGATTTATTGATTGTGAGGGACCTCACAATGATTTTGTTGAGTTTCGTCGCATTTTAAAGATTTAATGAATTCGTTTGCTTTGTTCGGATATTTCAATTAGGGACGATCATTTTTAGATAAAAATAAGAAAGAGTAAGACTGATCAGTATCGTCAAGGGGACGAAGTTGTCGTTAGTAAGGGCACTACTTCAGCATGTCTATGCTCCTTCGTTACGCTGATCTTGCCAGGATCGATTTCGAGTCGGAGGATTATTTGTTTAAGCAAGTAATGCGATCGAAAACGCAGTGCAGATTGATTATTAAGCGCAAACTTTTGAGTTACACGGCGGTTCGGGAGTCTGTTTTACTTTATATATATTTATATTTATTTATATGAATTATAATATTGTAAGTACTTATCCATAGCTGCTGTTATGTCTATAAGGAGACGGATTTACATAAGTACTATGTACTTGTTTCTGGATCCTTTTCTGTATCTATAACCATGTACTATTGTAATTTAACATCAATAAAATAAAGTTTAAACTAATTTGATAATTAATTATCAGAAAGTATATTTAACTTCGGATGGATAAACAATTGGTTCTCTATAATTATAGAGTACTGGTTGTTTTTTGTGGCGTCTACGACGGATGTTGGAAAGACACATAGACGCTGCTTTTTCGACGGCGGACTTAGAAAAAAACTCAACGTTAAGGTTTTGCGTTTAGCTCTTACATATTAGGCTGTTTCTGACAAAGTATAAATGCTAGAGCAACCAAACTTGGGTCATATGTGTATCATGGGATGTATAGCTGAATGCAGATATATAAACATATCTTGCGGTAAACGGAAGTTCCATACCATGTTCTAGGTGAACGTGAAGTTAATGCTATCGTTCGTACAGCAATATAGGTAGTGCATTGATAACCAGTTAGAGTAAAACAAATACCTGGCCACAGTTAGAGTCAGGTAAAACAAATACCTGGCAACAAGTGCCTGGAACATAACCCTCACGAGTGGTTCCCGACAGAGTAGTTAACTCACGAGTGTGTCCCGACAGGGTAGTTAACTCACGAGTGTGTCCTCACAGGGTAGTTAACTCACGAGCGTGTCCCGACAGGATAGTTAACTCACGAAGTGTGTCCCTACAGGGTAGTTAACTCACGAATGTGTCCCAACAGGGTAGTTAACTCACGAGTGTGTCCTCACAGGGTAGTTAACTCACGAGTGTGTCCCGACAGGATAGTTAACTCACGAAGTGTGTCCCGACAGGGTAGTTAACTCACGAA